GATTTCAGTTTAGTTAAGGCCTTGATGTCTAACCTTTTCTCATTTACATCCCAGTGTGAAAGAACATCCCACAATGAAGATGATGAGGGGAATTCCTTTACAAGTCTCTCTCCAGACTCTAGTTGCAGGCCCAAAGTAGAAATAGACTGCACTGTTCAGAGGAAAATAAGGGTGCATTTTACAAGGCCAGATTATTTTGGTACCAGAAGTACTCTGGCAACAATTACCTAACTTTCACAATTGTACAGTTATTGGGTTAATGTTTGCACTCTTAAGTACTCAACAAAGCTTTTCATTCACCAGGACACATTAATAAAAGACTTAACTACTGCAACCACTTCTAAGAACCCCTTTGTGAGCCTACATTGACTCTCAGTTACCAAGAAAGTATTAAGCTTTTATTCAGGTGCTTCACTGGTTAACAGCCCTTACAGTTGTATGTTATACCTATAGCTTACAGTCACTTGATTCGTTTTTTACAAAAAATACAATTCAAACTGTTGTAAGAATGGTAAAAGTAGTACCCTTTTTCCAGCACTCAGTTATTTAAGTTTTATGTATAATTGATTTAAAGTTACAGCCACTGTAAATCCTAAAAATAACAAGTTACTGTATTCAAGTTATGAAAAGTATATCAAATATCACTATTTTGCATTTGACTTTAAGCATTAGCTCATTTGAAAAGTCTCAACTATCTGGCCCCTTCTAATATAAGATTTCACAGTTACCCTGCTTCTTTAAGAAAATAAACAAAATATTTTAAAAACAGGTTTCGACAGTTCTTCTGTCATCTTCAGTTCTGATTTATGCAAAGTTGAAGTTGAAGTGTATAACAAAATGCTAATTGGACAAAACAAACAATAGAAACAGAACAATGTATGCAATTACAGGAAAGTTTTAAATTAACATGATAAAGTTGATAATTGAGTACCTTACTAAGCTTACCTTGCTTTGATTTCTGGCTGGCCACAAGTTCCAGATGTGCATTATTTGACAAACCAGTATATCGTATTGGTAAGGTATCATCAAGAATCTTTCTCTGGTGCCTAAGAAATGGTCAAATATAGGACAGTTCAACCTGTTAGAAACCATTAGCAAACAGGTAAACTGGCACATATTTTGTGTGGTTGGCATACTCCAAAAAGGGGCTACTCTCAGTAACAGTCAGTGTCATAAAAAAAGAAACATGCAGTCCCCTAATCCACGTGGTAAATTAGTACAGAATTCTCTATGACTCCTCATAGAAACTGAATTCCAAAATACAGCATTGCACTTAAGCTAGATGAATGGGTATATACTGATAATGTAGTACTGATCATTTTTGGTGTAAAACCAACTTTCAGGCAGAATATTTTGGTTTTATCGATTGAGTTGATAAATAAATGTAAATTGGCCACTGTAGAGGGCTTTTAGAGCTGACATTCTGAGTGTTAGCCATTTGAGAGTTAGCCCTTCAACTTGTAACATCAGCTGTGGAAACTCTTTACAATGGCCATTTCACATAGTCAACTCATTTGATAGAGCCAAATTGTCTATTATTAGCACCACAGTTTCTTTAGAAACTTACCCTCCTCAAAACTTTCAGGCAGGCCTAATATATGGTGTTACCACCTGTTGCTATATATCTTGGCAGATATAATCAACATCAGACTTATTTGACCTCAAAGCATCATGCAATCTAATATTATAACTTGAGTTATGATAATTGTTGAATCCAGTTTCAGAGAGGACTGTCTCCAACCCCTCCACATTATATACAGTGTATGAAACAAGTAAAGCAAGGTTAGGTCACACAGATGAACTGGTACAACTCGTGGTGAAACAAGTGAGTTTCAGGCATTAAACTACATGATACATGTGTAGGTAGTTCACTAGAATACAGTTCAGCTACAAAATAAATATAAAAATAAATGCCAACTTTTTTATATCACGATTTCTGCACAGCCTTATACTTCATGAGCCTTTGATTGAGGAAATGACGGTGACAACAATAAATTGCCTTTGGGACGTCGACTACAGTTTACTTTTTAGAATAATATGGGGTTATACGAAAATACTTTCTTATTTTGTAAAGAAGACTGGTTTACAACAGTACTTTAGTATTAGCTTGATTTATAGTTTATGGTTACTACATGTACATGTACAGCATGTCCTTTTGCACGAAACATTGGATTGCAGATCTTTGAGAAATTTGCATGCATACGTTTTTATTTTGCGATTATGGGTCATCAAAGTAATTGAAAAATGTTGGTATTTCCTGGTTATATAAACTGAGAACCCGACTGTGTTGTTGTTTTATATGTACCCTGTACACGTCACTGAGACAAAAAAATTCTCAATTATGAAACAGCTAGACAAATGAGAGAAGCAAATATTTTACTAACTGCAAAGAGAAGTTTTCAGATGAAAGGCTTTGTTTTCTGCACACTTCTTCAAGTACCTAGAGAAATGAAAGACACGTTTTAAAACCCTGAAAAAACTTAATCTAACTTACAACGCCTGTTTCCAAAGCACTTCAGTCAAGCCGAAAAAAACTAATATCTTTTCGTGAACTAACAAAACCTTTAACGCTAAGAGGCGGAGAGTAAAAAGGAACAGACAGACCTGAAGTAAAGTGGTTGTTGGATTCACTTTAACGGTTTGCCGGCGCGCATTAGGACAGAGAACAACGACACTCTTACAAGCCGCCATATTAAATCTGTGATGAAGTCAGCGTTTTTCCCCGCTCCGTACCAGTCTTCCTCGTCTTCGCAATTTCCGCGGAAAGCAAGCAGCCTTAATCTTTCGAAATATTGAGAGTTTTGGTAGAAATGTACGATTCTCCAGTCCGCAATAAAAAAGTAGGTACCCAAACGGGACATGTCTGAGATACACTTCGTCTTACAATTTGTAAAAAATGCGTCATTCATAATGATTGAATTTTTACTACTAGCGAAAAACACAAGCCAGAATAAAATGGATGTTTTCTTTTCAATGTTCTACCGCTGAGAGGGAACATGGGAAAAATAAGTGGGATCATATTATCTCAGAATGAAACGCAAGTTGGACGACAGCACAGAAACCGTGTTCCAAACGAGTGACGGTAAAGGCTATTTCCCTATTCGATTCTTATTGCCATTCGATCGATCCCTCAAAGATGTGCATTAACCGACCCTATTGGAGGTCATATTGTGAATTACTCACTGTCGCAGAATTGGGATGTGAATCCTGAAGACGTGCTTCAGCGAGGGACAAAGTCCTGTCCTTTTTCTTGATTGACTATTTATGTAAGTCACGATAGAAATTTCAAACTGGCCAAGCGGAAAACACTTCTTCCTCCTCCAAGTATTCATTTCCTTTACAGCTGTTTACAGAGCGTTACTAAAGGGGACCTTTGATCATATTTAGCACGATTAAATCTCTGTGATTCATATTTAGTAGAAGTAAATCCCTCTCAATTGTCAAATTCTTTACTCGTGATATTTTTCTTTCTCTGCTCCGCGTTAATTTTAATCTTTAAAACAAGGCAGACTAACAGACTGCATTAGGAATTGACCTTACCCGATCTTAGATTTCTTGGGCTAAGAAATCTACGCAATTACCCAGATTTGACGATTAAAGCGGGCTTCAGCAGGGGACAGTCATCTACTTTCTATCTGCTCTCCTAATTAACTGTTTCGGCTGGAAAAAAACCAACGACAAACATACCAACTGAATGAATTATTTGACCCCGAAGTGGATATCTCTTTTTTTTGCCATTGTCTTTTGCACTTTATAGTATGAACTTTCGATGTCTTTTGAAAGCGTCTGATATATGTTTACCCTGCGGGTGCACCATAGTGGTTTGGAGTCGAAAAATTTTGCTTTAATTTTCTTGTTGATTAACCTAGTACGTGTTCCGCTTTAGCTGAGGGGGGCATTTGTATTCGTATACTTTTTTTTTTTTTTCAGATACTCAGGAGCTACCTACATATGAACTTTCCTCCACGATCAGATTCCTGTGTCGCTTTGAAGTTGGAAATTGATAAACGGATTAAACCATGCTTGGTTTAGATTTGATGCCTCAGTATGTTTTCTTCTCTCTTCATGATGTGTATGCGCTCCTCACGTGTGACAATTATGCAAAATACGGATACGTATTGCACTACTAGGGAATTAGGTTACAATGACACGTGCTCTATCTACAAGGTCTTAAGTTCCTTAAGGCTGATTAAACAACTTACCTCTAATTTACCTGAAGCAAAATTAAATTTCTTTCGGATTTTCAACTGCTCTGCAATCCGTATATTTGGGAATCATTTATTGCAAACTTTCGTTTTCAATATAATCATTGATCTCATAGTGTATTCTCATTCTTGCTTACCTGTATATGACTTTACTATTACCCCTGATCATTTTCCGCGCTTGCTGAAGGAAGGAGAACAGAACAGACAGATAGAGAAATGATCAATAAGGAATCATATCCGTTACTACTGAGACAACAAAATCGTCACGCCATGTAAAAGATATAAAAAGCAAAGTCTCGGCAGAAGAGATGTTCATTAATTGAGAGAAGAGCACCAAGAAGAAATATTTCAAGATCTGAAACAAGCAAATTATACTACAGGAACAAAGAAGCACCATGCGGTTTGTAAGTATAAAGAAAAATTATGCCTTGTTTTTTTTCCTAGAGATCAAGGCGTCACTGAATTACAAGTAGGAAACCAACTCTCAGATAATCATCTTTTTATAAGATTGACTTTTTGTTAACTTTTCTCGTTCTTTAAATTTGAGGCTTAAATTTAAACTGAGTGATGAATAAATGTTCAAATGGCCAGCCAAGAACCTTTAGTCGCGAGACAATTTAATTTCCCTGTTGACGTGATACCATCGAAACATTCTTAACTTAATCTGGAAAGTCATGCGTTTTGCGACTTTGAGATATTGCTCAGGATTTGAAACGTTTCACTTTCATTTTACTTGAATTTGTTGTTGTTGTTGTTTTTTTTAACTCTGCGCAGTACACATGTACCACCACAAGAACCCGGCTACCGGTCATCTTTCTTTTATTTCTTGCTTTGGTCAAGTTGGCTCCTGCCAGCCCTTTTTATGTAGAAATGGATTCTCCTTCTCAAAAGGTGAGCTGTTTCATTGATGTAGCTAAGCCGTGTAGATCAGTGAAGTGAGACTGCAATCTAACCCCTAGGTCATGACCTTAATTTCTCGTGCAACTGGTCATGAGATGACATTTGCGTGACATTGAGTCAAAAGAAGTCTGAGCCATCATTCGTGTGTTTGCCACCGAGAAATGGTGTTGTTTCTATGTTCAATACGTTGTGTGGATTTGAGCTGCAGTATTTGAAATGGATCTCAAGGTACTCACTCTCGAAATAGCACTTCACGTTCGGCACTGTTGTCCTTTGATAGGGTACGTAGACCAAAGAAGCTGTTTTAAGGTTTAAAACAAATTTGAACCCTCGATTATAAAAGTTTCAAGTATAATGCGGTGTCCATTTTCAATCTCGCTTCCTTTAAATAGGGTCAGGGTTTGCTCATCTTGCGAAAAAAAACATTCAAAATGGAATGTCTATGTACCTTACTGGGGGTTTCCAACATTCTGGCTTCTTCTGGACTGTTTTGGGCCTTCAGGTAGTAAACGGACTCGCTGTAAACCGTATGCAATCGGCGCGAGTTTTAGAATTAGCAACCCAAGCTTTGCCGTTTATTCGTCGCATCTTGCTCTGTTTACTGCCTGACCTTCTGGAACATGCAAGGCTTCTTATCAATAACGCATTAACAAACCACCTCGTAAAATGTCATTGCATTTTCAAGGTCGTGGGTTATAACATTCAGATCAGGGAGTCTGGGGAAGAGTACACCGAGACAATCGAGGTGGACACAGAGAAGCAGACCGAACTGTTTAAAGTTCCTGCTCATGTTAACGTGGACCAAAGCAATATTTTGCACGATTTCAAAAAGGTAAGCCTGTCATCTTAATTTTAATTTACTCAAGCCCATAGTGATGTTGCCTAAGCCGTAACGAAGTAAAGAGTTAAAACTCTATTTCAGCCTGAGTTCGATGACCATCGAACGAAATCGCCTCAATTTCTTTCAGTACTTCTGTAAGGGCCATTTACCACCTTGACAGCCCGACTCGATGAAAAAATTACAGGACCAAGGTCGTAAGTAGTTCTCGTCCCTCTCATTCAGATTATGAAAGAGGCCCATAATTGGCTAGGAGAACAGTCATTATTTATCGCTCGGGGGAGGGGAGGGGGGGGGGTGGAAGATTTTGGGGGGCAACCAAAAACATTTGACTTAGAAGATATGTCAGTTGTAATTCTCTACCAATATACAATCCCCACATAAGTAGGAAACCAGAAGAGCTGTTCCGTTTTTTTCGTTTCATCTTACCGATTCTAAAACGAAAACGTTTCAATGCTCCCATAACCCCTGAAATTGCAAATAACAGTAATCAAATGTTCACTCCAACTACTGCCTCACACTTTGTCTTATTCAGTTTGGAGAAGACCCTCAGTAAATACCACACAAATATTGTTTCATTATACTTCACTTACGGATGTTCTCATGCAAAACGTTGACATATCATATCTGGTTATTTCTCACGCTTGTAGAGACACAACCGTACTTTTGGATTAAGACTATCTTTGGATTCTTTATTGGGACAAAAAAATTCGTTTTTACTTTGAATTTAAAGCCCCCACCCCCTCCTCCACTCACTTCTAAATAGCTCAATAGCAGTGGCTAACACTTCATTGGCTACAATTTTAAGTCTCTTTAGTTTTTCACCTGTAGCCCTCTCCCTTCCCTGCTTCAGTAGTGACACTTTATTTCTCACGACAATACAAAGATAAGGGAGCTAAAGTTAATTTTATTACCGTAAAACTGTTTATAGTCGAGCATAGAAAAATTTTGCGTAAAATGTAAATTAATTGAGGAAAGTAATTATGCATGAGTTAAGAAGCACTTCGACTCAAATTAATTCTAAATGTCTAATTTTTGTTCAAATTTAGACACAAACTCGTCAATATCACATGCTTTGGAAAACGTTTTTGGGTGATATAAGTAATATTTTGCTTATAGTAAATAGTAATTAAAACGTACTCAAGGAAGTGCATGCGTATTTTGCACTAAAACGATAAATAACTTCCGTATAAAATTCTGGAGTGTTGTGACGTGAAAGGAAGGTGTGGTGAATAGAGTCTGGCTCTTTGAAGTTAGGCCATATCTGCATAATTTTTTCATGGTGAAAGGTCTTCTAAGCAGTAACTTGAAATTAAATCATATAATCTAGTTTCTGTTGTGTTTTGCCAATTGCAGTGAAATTCGATCTCCAACTGCCTCCTGGCTTAAGTTCTTTTTCCCATTTGTTTGTTACTGATCTTCATTTCAGCCTGTTTTAATTTTAACCATATGTGACCGTTTCTTGCTCAGACAAATTACCGACGAAATCTTTCCACACTGGTCATTAATATAGTCAGATACCTATCTATTCTTGCTTTAGGTTAAATAAGAATTATTTTCTCTTTCTGCAGAATCTCAGCATGATGCAGTTGCCGGAAAAGAAGATCTGTTATATTTTGCCTCTAGAAATGGAAGTTTCGACGCCAGAGAAACTCATTAATGATCTCGACAAGGCTAACGGGGTAAGAAAATGCCAATTTTATTTTTCTGATGTGCCTTTTAACAACTCAGCATGAAAATGGGCATGCATAAAACACACCAGAGCAATCTTCAAAGTAGAGCAATAGTAAAATTTTGTTCATGTGTGGAGGAGATCCTTTTTCATCCCCTTTCGAGTTTAGCACAGTTTTTACTTATTTCTAGCCTCTTTTAAGCAGCAGGAGGGGATGGCTTTTGGATTTGAATTCCTTGAATAACACTTTCGACGAAAGGTTTTCAATATTAACATCTCAGTCTCTCTTTCACTCCAACGAAAACCTTGCCAAAATTGTTCAGTGGTTAATTTTTGAGTCTCAGCAATCAAAGAAGAGCTAAACAAACACAGTGAAGATTTATCTAGTGTTTTTCTTAGCTAGCTAGAAAATTGCATCTCTTACACAATTGAAACTAAGATCTGAAAAAGGTTTGGGTAGAGAGAAAGGGAAAACACCTCTCTCTCTATGAAGTTGCTTTTGCTAGGTGAGCTCGCAAAGGTTCTTCGAAGCCGTTGTCAAAGAGCTGAGTTAAGGAGCGATGATTCTCTATGAATTCCCCCGTTCTTCACACCCTAATCGTTGAAAGAGAACTGTGGGGGTAGACTTCTTCAGTAGCATAACGATAAGTAACTTATCTTGGCCGTCATTCTCAGCTTTACTTTCTGTCTCGTTTTAGTTTCACCTACTAGGAAGTAATATGTCTATTCTACATTTTACAGATAACCATCAGCAAGAAGTCAGTTATTGACAACAAATGGACAGTAAATGGTGAGGTGACTGATACATCTGCTCTAAGCGAAGAGATGGCCTCTTTTTGTGAAAACTACGCAATATACTACCTCAAAAAGATAGAGGACACCGTGAAATCTACCAGGATCCAAACAAATGGTAAGCATGCGAGAAGTCCTCAATACATCGCCTTCGGACAAATCAGTGGTGGACTGGAAGAATTCTGAGTTTTTTCGGAATTGAAGCGATAATGTAGGGGTGTCAATATAAGTAATGTCGTGAAAAGAGTAAAGGACTATTAAAATCAGTGCCATGCATTTAAATTGAAACTAATTTCGGAATTACTTTTGTCTCATCTTTTGGTCAGAATCGTATTTCCGCCTAGTGTACACCAGCAAATGGTCGTTCTCGTAAAGGCATTATATCACCTGACTCGATTCATTTAATACAGTTAAAAATTTTTCACCGAAGTAGAGGTGAATAGAGGTGGATTTTTACCGAGCTGCGAAGCAGATTAAGTAATTAAGTTCCACAACTTAATTTTTTTAGTGTATACCACACCGTGATAACAAAAAAAATAGTTCATTTCTTTCAATATACCGAAAGATAGCCAGAAAGTAAGCTCTCGATACGCGAATTTGTCTCTATGACAGCTTCAACTTATGTACTGCTATTTTAAAAAATTCGACGCTCGGGCTGTCAATTGGCTCAGTCACCATGTATATCCAACTATATGCATAACGTACATTCAAATCCGGTTTCATCAGTACTTTTTTCCGAAAATTTCTCAATATTTGTCAATGATTTACGCGGCAAGTAATGAGCTCCACGCTATGGTGACTGGAATTGAGTTATGACACAAAAAATATCCTATTTCATGAACAACGAGTGGTATTTTAAACGAGTGGTATGATAGAAATTAAGCTAATTGCTTCTCGCGCGGGCCCCCTACTCTGCAATGACTTTAGCAACTTAAATCAACCAATCAGAAACCAACATTTTGTACCGGCCAGTCAAAACTGGTCATGTGGGAGTCTTCTCGCTCTCTTATTGGCTACAGAGTCGTTATGCGCCCTTTACTACTCATAATCATTTTATAGTTACGCGAAAGCAAAAGTTTTTCTACTGTTTCCCGGGCCTTGACATCCCGAGAACAGCCATTCATATTACGAGTATCCTTGAAAAAAAAAATGTAGTCACTGTTTATCACTGGTTTCAATCGCAACACTTTAATACGTTGAATAACGTCTCTCTGTTTTACAGACAAGAAACACCGGCAACGTCGACAACGGGGTTTCGTAACCAAGGAAATACTATTTCCTGATATTCCAGACGATTTATCATGCCCAGGTGGCAGAACTCAAGCTACTGCTCTTGATGATTGGCGGTTGTGTCGACCAAATGGAAAGCAGATGAAAGTGAAGTGCAAAGTGATAAGTAACCCGTGCTACTATTACAGTGTGTGCGATACACTGGACATATGTACTACCAGGCATGTGCGTAGCACCATAAGTTGTTGTGAGTACCAATGCTTGTAAGAGCTGCTTGACGTAAGGATAACGAACGTGAACCTAAATAAAAGTCCCTAAAAAATCTGTAATTTTTGCATGCAAGTGTCGAAAATGACTCTGGAAACCTATGTTTCATGGTTACCATTGATTGCCTGATTTTATTAAGCATTTTCCTTTCATATTATCTTCCTATTTTGTCTTCACCATCATGCACGATATGATTTGTGATTCCCGATCATCACCCCAGGCTAAAGTATGTTTCTTTGCAAAAGAGTGCTGAAAAAATTGATGGTGACTAATAGATCAACAGCATTTTGTTCTTACGGTGTTAATACAAAAGCTGGGAGATAAATAATCCTTTACAAGCTTTGCGTAGATATTTAAGAGGTGGGGCTCTAGAGTCTACGCCGAAAAAAATAATCGCTTCATAAAGGAACCTGATTAATAGTAAAATTTCGCTTTCTTTCGTGTTATTTAATGTTTTGAAATTTTGGACTTCCAGTAGAACAAAGTCTTTCTGATTTTAGTTGAAACCTATGATTTTTATTTGATACATGCCTGAAACGAAATGTTGCGTGTGAGCCGAAATAAAATCCCTTGAAGTAGCACATCGTGTCTTTTGCTATATTTATGTGAGTTAAAGATTTGGTAAGCTCGAACTTATACATGTGAATTTTTGAACGCTTTCCCCCCTCCCTCAATGGCTTCTCTATAATACCTAACCGCTTCCACCAACTCCATTCTTTCAATTGATTTCTTTCCGTACCGCACGAAATTCGAGGCTAGGTAATCCGAAAAGGTGGTTAATTGTCTCGAGCAACTTTGAGTTAAACGAGATGTTACTCGAACCGCCACCTGCATACTTAACTTCCAATGCTGTTTCCAACATGAGATATTACTTGTCGCTGACGATGAAGCAGACTGTTGACGAGTATACAAGGCGAGATTTCTAAACTGATCTTTTACGTGCCCTCCGAAAGTTGCTATGTGATAAGATAAGCTCATAACATCCCTTTTCAACTTGCTATGGATCAAAGTTATGCGACTAGCTTGGAATTAGTTGGCCATTGCAAAGAAGAATTTGAAACTCAGGGCTGAACTGTTTAAAGTTAAATTGCTTCAAAATTTTATCTCGACTCAAAATTAAATATAACTCGAAAAAGCTATGTTCAGCTCTTCCAACACGAGTTTTAATTACAAACGCTGTAATGCTATCAGTTTAAGAAATATCTCCCTGCCTTGTGCAGAAGATCTGAGAGTCGCGATCACCCGGTGACCAAAGTTTAATTTCAGCTGAGTTTAGCTCTATTTCTTTCTCGATCGTCGAAATAGTTTTTCACACCGACATACCTTTAATGGTAACCTTATCGTATAAATACGCAGGACATCCTACTTTTCCTGATGTAAAACCACACGACTTTCTCAACTAAAGAAAATCAAAGTTTCCAGAACTTGGTGTTCTTTTTTTTTCCGGACGCTTCAACTGTTTGGCACGTACAATAACATTGTCCATCGCAAGACATTATAAACTGTTCAGTTTATAATCTCTTGTCGATTCAAAATCACTGCCTTTTAAATTTGGAGAAGATAATATAAAGACGTAATATTTGCTTCTTTACTGACACCGAAATTGCGTCCCTTACTGATAACATAAGACATAGCAACGTATATTTCAATGTTAAAGCTAGTCAGTTCTCGCATCTTCGAGATGGTTCAAGCTTAATCTGAGGTCTTTCAAACTAATTATAAGTGATTCAAAGTCATTTTATTCCACAAAAATTGGTTTGAGACTGCACTTCAAAAGCTGGCTTTACTGAAGAGACCAAAAAAGAATCGGCATCTGTTCACCCCAATCTCTAAGATAAAGAAGTTCAAATCTACTTTTCCAACATACAAACTGAACAAGGATATCGGTCACTATCGTTCTGATGATAGTTGATTACCGTTAGTTGTGTTCTTTACTGACCAGGTTACAAACTGTTTCCCTCATTAAACACGATCGAGATTGTAACGGTAATCAGTGTAAGCTGAAAAAGATACACGGTAATCGAGGTAGTGTTGTTCAGTAATATGCCTGCCCATCAACTTTATTGGTCTCATAGGTAATATTCATGCATACTAAAAAAATGGCCGGGTCAAATAAAAAGACCAAAAGGGATTGCGCGAACGGGAAAAGTATCCCATGCGAGGCACAACCTACAATCTGAGTAAAGAAAAAACATTCTGGTAAGAAATTTAAATTCTAGTAAAATTACAGTGAATCTAATTAATTACTTATAGTGCACAGTAAAGTGCAATTATAATCAGTCAGATAGAAATTAAGAGCAGTGGCAAGGGCAATTACGAGAGAGGAACTAGTTGCAAGGCATGTCAGTATTGTAAGTAGTGTCGAGTAAAGTAAAATAAATGGCGCGCAAAAAATTTTAAAACATAACATACTAAGACTCGAAAATTTGTCACGAGGGGCGAGATTGCAGATAATGTTTCAAGGTTTTACAATTCTACTAAAAAATGAAGCCTGAAAAGTTGCGGTTTTACAGTAAGCAGGTTTGAGTACGAGGGTAGGGTTCTTAAAGCGAGATCTATCACGTATTACAAAAGTAAAATATAGACCAATATTTGTGTCGGTATATCCGGAATTATAGTTGTAGAGAAAGACAAGATCTCCGAGTTCTCTATCGTAAGTTAATGGTAGTGAGCGAAGAATCAGCGGTCGTTGTTTATAGGACATCTTATCAATTCTAGGTCTGCGCGCCTCCGGACTCTCGCTAAGATCGTTCTCAAATTGACACTAACAGGAGAATATACCTCTGTCGCATAGGAGAGCTGTGACTTTACGAGAGACAGAAAAAGTGTCCTCCTGACTTTCATATCGGTGATAAGTGGGCAAGTTCTCTTTAAGAGACCCAACATTCTATTAACCTTGGGCGCCATGCGCGTAACATGCGAGAAATGGTAACACCAAGATCTATTTCTTCCTGAACGCGTTGTAAGTTTATATCGCTAAGGAGATAATCGTGAGTTACAGGTGTTTTCTTTCACGTGACTGTTAACACTTTGCATTTAGAGGCGTTAAACTTCATTTTTGTTTCATGGCTCCAGATGTTCAAACTTGTCAGATCCTGCTGGACTGAATATCACAGTCCTTCACTGTGAAATAGTACGGTACAGCTTGGTATCATCAGCATACTAGGCGGTGCTGGTTTGCTTGAGGATGTCATCAGGAAGGTCATCGATAAATATCACAAAGAGGAGTGGGCCAACAAGACTGCCCTGGAGTGAACCGGAAGTGACCGGTAGATGCTCAGAGGCTGTGCCGTCAATCACAATTCTCTGTGATCTGTCCTTCAGGTAGTCGGAAAACCAATCTATTAGTTGACCTGTGACACCATACCACTTCAGCTTTTTAATAAGCATGAGTGATCAACTGTGTCGAAAGCCTTGGCAAAATAAAGGTACAATATATCCGTCTGTTTTTGTCAAGTGCCTCCCCAACGGGAACGCGTGAATCCGTGCTGTAAAGAAGTAATTGACTGCGAGACGTGGCAATAAAGCCTGTTACAGACGTAGCGTTCCATAACTTTGCTCACAATTACAAGTATTGAAATTGGTCTATAATTTTCAGCTGGTTCCAGAAGATTCTTTTTTATGAACTGGAGTAACATGAGCTGACTCCGAATCGGATGAAAACCGCCCAATACATAGAGAGTAATTGAATAGGGCACAAAGACTTAGTGCGATCTGCTCGCTGCACTCTTTAAAAATGCGCACTGGAATTCTAGCGGCCGAAATATGGGCGAAATTTAGGTCTGAACGGAACAAAACATATGGTTCATTTGACGTCTTGTCGAATGTCATTGCAACCATTTATCCGTTGTAATATTAGATAAAGATCGCAATAAGCCTACGAAATGTTGTCAACTGTTAGTAGAAACCTATTGAACATGACCTAGATTGCCCAATTATTTGAAATAAGTTTGGTAATATAATAATACCGTTCCCGAAGTGCGTCAACATTTGGACTTCAATGCATTAAGCTAGTTCATGTTGATTACATTAGAACGTAAATGTACTAACTTTACACTAGCATCATCAATGACGCAATTACAGCGCCGTGAACCATGGCACTGACTATAACAATATAACTACTTGATCTGTCGCGCCATCAGTCACCCATTGATTGCATTCATCGTCAAACACATGGCCAGAGGAAAACAACACCCACTTCACTTAGGTAATACATCAGTCGTGTGACTAACTTAAATGTGATGTGGACTATCTCAAGGAATAAGTCCATGACTTAATTTTTATCAATGACTATCCTTCGTTTTAACGCTACCTGCAACTATATTTGTCCACAAAGCTTAAGCATACCACTGCAGAAAATTTTGTTTCTACGTAAAAAGGACAATAAGGGCAATTAGACATCTACATGAAAAGGCTCATGTAGTTCTTAAAAGAGAGAATTTCACGATTAAAGGTATCCGCACTTTCACTTTGTAGGTTAATGATTTTCCGCTAGCTATTTAGCTATTTATCATTGCATCCTGGCTGATCAAAGATTTAGCTCGTCACGTAATGTCTTGAACACTCCAAGGAGTTCATGAAATTGGCTTAAAATCATTACATTTAGGGTCATCAGTTGTCTTACAAAAGTTGTCTTATAATAGGTGTGACCAACGTTTGTCAATTGATACAAGCCTTCCTCGACTCAGTGATATTCATATCGAAGGGCAAAACGAGTTGTTAGTAAGAAAAATTTACTTAGGTAGTAATAGTTAAAAAACACACATAGTCACAACAAAACACAAAGTTCAAAACATGGATCACTTGGCATTCTTTGCAAGAGGCATCGCAATCCAGCATGTAAATACAGATTCCCCTCGGAGCATCTTTACCTTTCATGGTCCACGATTTACTTTGGGTGCAACAGCTTACTATGTCATGAACAAAAAGACGGCTTATATGTCTATCGCATAATCGTATTCTCGTTATGGCCGGATCTTGAAGTTGCTGCAGGCTTCGACGTTGTCGTTCGTTTTCTCCGCAAATTACAGAAACAAAATATAACACTATTTTTTTCTTAAGTGTTTTCCTCAGTGTATTCTTTTATCGGGAAAGAGGAAACTTGGAAGTAGGTTTCTTATATCATTTCTTTTGTTGTTAGTATTTCTTTGGTGCTACTTATTTATATTAAATTCTGTCTATGAGCCAAATGAAACACCAAACAAGGGATTTCTGTCAGTCTGCTTGCTTCCCCCAGCCTTCCTCTCCCGCTGACATTACTTCTGCTGTTAATTAAATAGGTAATCCGGGTGCTGATACGAGTTTCCTAAAGTCGAAGAGATATAGTAGGTCCGAGTCTTCCACGGCCGACAGTTAATTTTTAAGGCATTTTACAGTTGACGTTTATCAGGAAGATATATTCCTATGAGTTAAATTATTAATGATAATTTGATTGATCACAATTTCCGTCTGCAAATCTCTGGTACGCGGCCTATGTTTACGTATCAGCTAGTTTTACCTGTTTCACTAAATTTAGCTCGGCAAATACCTAGGATTTTGTTTAAGGGGCAAAAAGACACTCTGAGGTCGTCTCAATCAACGAAATATCCCTAAAATACGGGCTCGATAATTTGGTTTACATTAAGCACTTGGCCACGAATGAGATCCGACTCAAAATATTGTTTTCGTTACCGAAAATTTCACAAAAGAAAAACGACTCACAAGATTTAAGGCGTTTAAAAATTGCAAAATGTCTCATCGCTGTTATCTTTTGTTTGTTTTGTTCATTAACCTAACCACCTAACCGCTAGATAAATATCTCATCAGACAACGAACGGAAAACTCAGAGGAAGAGTGACGTCACGCCCCAGGCACTGAGATATCACGCAAGATCTTGTACACTTTATTCAAGTCATCGAGGCACCAAGTCGTCGAGGCGAAGTAAACATGGCGGCTGCTCGCAAGACCCCAGAACTTGGCGGATATGATTACGAATTCACGGTCCAAGTTCGTGATAACTGTGAATGTCTTGTGTGTCAATTAGCAATGAAAGATCCAGTTCAGATTATAGGATGTGGACACAGACTTTGCTTCATCTGCATGGAATCACTCTTGCGGTAAATGTAGAAAACATGAAATTTGCACAACAATGCTAGCAGTTTCACAAACCGCGAGTCTGCTCAAACGTTTACAAACTAACAATACTTAAGTATCGAATTCGCACGCCAGTAATACCAACATCAAAGATTTATTTGAGAGTACGATCGATATTTTGCATAGGAATGTGTAAGAGTCAGTTTTCAAGCTAATTTCCATTCTTAAATGTGTCTGCTTGAGTGCGTCATTCGTTATTAATGGCCCAGGGCTTAATATTTTTTCCTACTTTGAAAAGTGATTCAATCTCTCTTCCCTGATTGACCATCAGAAGCCCTTCACCGTTGTGCCCAGCGGACAGGAAGCCATTGTCACGTGATAGGGTAAGAGATTAGACGGTTCACGCAATGCTATTCATGCTTTGTAAAAAGACTCGAATTTACGGTTTTGCCTTCCAATAGATGATCTATTGAAAACTAGCAGGCTTGGATAAAATTAAAGTCAATATGTCAGAAGGTGTCCTTCATTCAGATTGTAAAAAATCCCATCACGTAACAGTAAAAACGTTAAAACTAGTTCCAAGAAAACTATCCATCTACTTTTTGTTGGAACAAAATTGTAGCTCGACGAAGGAGTAGAATTCTCGGTGGACTCTCGATTACATTATAAAAAGCTGGCTGTTGTATGTCTGGAAATGTTTTTAGAATAAATTTAGAATAAATTGTTATTTTGGTAGATATTTCCAGATTCTGCCTTTCATCGCGAAATTCTGAATCTGACCGTGAAGTGTCCTCATTCTAGATGTTCATGGACTGGAGAGCTGCGTGCTGCAGAGGTACAACTAAGGCAGAGAAAAAAATTACCTTTAGCCAGAAGACAAGGCATTCAATGTCGTCACAGGACTTAAACTTGCGACGTTTTAACTTAACAGACACAATCCTAGCGATAACTATTCTTACCAACTTTCGTCTCCTCTATCTTTCCTTCTACTCGATCCTCCCTCATACGTCATCTACGTATAAATTTTTAGCCTGAAATCTCTAAAACATCAATTCTTTTTTCAGTGTGGCCACACAGGCCATATGAAATTTGTTTTCGTTTAAAATTGTGATCAGCCTCTACTACGTGATAGAAGACTAACCATCTAAAATTTGCCTCGCTCCCTGAATTTTTCCAGGCCCTTTTTCTTCAATTGCTTAAATTGCTGTTTAACTGCGAGGATTATTGCTTTACTTGAGTGAGCGTAGAGCAAGACTTTCACAGCACACCTTTCATATGTTTTGAGAAAGCTAAGGCAATATGTCACCTACAGAAACACCAATCCGAATGCCTGTTAAAAGAAGTGCAGTGTTCAAACCCAGGTTGTACAGAGAAGCTGCCCCAGCAGGACATGTCAGTTCACGTGGCATTCGAATGTTCCTGGAGAAGAATAAATTGTGAATATTGTCAAGAATCAGTCCTGTCTCATAAAAAGCAGGTATGCAGATATCATCAACACGTCATCTTGATTCTGTTGTTTTTCAGTTTCAGGGCGATACATTCCTCACTTAGATTGACGAGATCATTGTTCGTAATTCCATAATGACAATTACGGGCCATTGACGTTCAATACGGGAACGAAAGGGGATTCTTTTATAATTATAAACATAAATGAGGAGCATATCCTTGGCACCACATAACATCATCTCTGCCTTGGCTCAAATTATGAGTTTTTGTTTTCTTGTTTCCACCATTTCAATGAAATTTGAAACGTCACACGAGTGTGATCAAGCTTCAAATGCCGGCGTTGGGAGGCGAATTTTTAGTACATTTTAAAGGCGATTTCGAAAGGCTGTACGGAATCTCAAACTGTGGCAAGTACTACGTTTTCATATTTTTATCATGTTGAGCTACATCTTTAATATCAAAAATGTTTGGTTCGGAGTATGCTGCTGCTTTAATTTGTGTGGGTAGCTTACTTGTTGAGAACATTTTCTCTTTTTTGACAGCCAAGTTTTTAATTATTTGCGTTAGATTGCCCTGCACTATTCGCGAGTTTAACCGGTCCTGGAGTGAAATGTGGCATCGTGCTCAAACGTGTTCTCTACTTTTGTCTAGAAACATTTTGATGTTTGCCAAAAGTTTCCAGTTCAGTGCACCAATGAGTGCGGCGTGAGAGAAATTCCACGAGACAAGGTTCGTTTGCATCAAAGTTAAGTGATTTTAATTATTCGAATTGGCTCACAGTTAGATCACTCGATAGGGAAGCTCACTTTTATTTTAACAATTTTTAAATTCGAAATGAAGGTCATTGATAGTAGCACTGAACGAGGGCTTTAGAAAATCAAGATTGGCTACAACAATTTTCTCCGAGTCTACAAGCTTTGGGTATCAACAAAAAGTAAGCCTGTCAAGAATTGAAAGCTTACAGAATGGTTTAGAAAGAATAGCTTAAGAAGGTTTGCAAGAGCATCAAAAGGGATGAAGAAGAATTTGGTTAATATATGAGTGGAAATTTACATTTCCATTGTTTCATGAACTTGGAATGCCTTGTCCTGTTTACAACAAATGAGTCATCGTTTTTATTGTTGTTTACAGCTTGAAGTTCACATTCGTGACCAATGTCCTGGAGCTGCAGTTACCTGCGAGTACGAGAACCTGGGATGCAAGGCTATGGTATGGAACTGTTTTCAAACTTGATTAAACTCCATTCCTCATATGCTGTGAAGCAGCTTGTCAGTGTGAAACAGGTTTTAAACAGGTATTTAGGCAACTCTAGTCCGAGAAGGTTGTTTACCAAAGCTTAATCGAAGCTTGTACTGTCAGAGGGGAATCCATAACTTAAAGTATTTAATGTAGTCCCCAAGTTCAACGAGACTTTGATGCTTAAAATCAAGAATTAAATAAAAAACTCAAAGTTTCGAGTCTATAGGGCAAGAAAAGATAAACCGCGAAAAAACAGATTAGGAAGCGCAACTGAATTCAAAACTTTAAATTTTAAAAGAGATCTATTCCTTGATGCCTATAGTTTCCAAGATCAAACACCGATTCTCATTCAAAGTCCGAAGTTGAAGGTCATTTGAGGTTAGCCCTACATTGCCTTGAGGCCACTCGGTTACAAGTTCATGATCTTGTCAGCCTTGTCAAAGAACAATCACAGCAGATAGAGCGATTGATGTCCAGTGATCAAGAAAAGACACAACAGATGGAGAGATTGATGGCTGAAGTTAAAGAACAGTCACTAGATGTTAAAAGGCTGATGTCCAAAGATCAAGAACACTCACATCATGTACAATGGCTGATGTCCAAAGATCAAGAAAATTCACAGTATGTACAATGGCTGATGTCCAAAGATCAAAAAAATTTACAGCATGAACGATGGCTGATGTCCAAAGATCAAGAAAATTCCCAGCATGTACAATGGCTGATGTCCAAAGATCAAGAAAATTCACAGCAGATGCGAGCGACACCAAAGGATAAAGGAAAGTAAAAATCCAACTTCTTGGGGCGAATATTGCGCAAAGATCAAGAAATGAAACAACCAATGATAGCTCAAGTTAGGGAACAGTCAGAGCAGATAGAAAAGCTGGAGATTGCGAATGATCCATTTGTATGGAAAGTGCCCCATTTTCATGCTCTTCTTGGCAAAGCAAAAACAGGGGTAAAACAAGTTTTACTGAGTGAATCCTTTTCTCTGTGGAAAGACGGATACATGTTAAGAATCAAAATGATGCTTGAAAAGTTTAGTGAGTGGGGCTCAGTTTTTCTAAGTCTCTCGATCGTAAATGTCCCTGGAGAATTTGACAAGTCACTATCATGGCCATTTGTAGAAAAAATACACGTAGCAATAATTGATCAGAATCCATGCAAGGAGGAGAGCGATAACATGTCGCATGTGATTGACTTTGGACACAAACGCGACCGAGCGACTTTTAAAGCTCTTACGATAACCGATGACTGCGAATTTGGTACAATGTTTGCCTCAGCAAATGAGTTATATAACAGATCTTATATAGTTAACGATGCTGTTCTCATCACAGCAAGTACGGAAGGGTAATGACTTAACTTGGCCCTTATTTTATCTGACTTTGAAATAAACGTTGACTTGAAACCTCATTTTGTGTTTGTTGTTATTACGCAAATGGTTTACTGTTATGTCTCCGGCTCACGCTTTTACAGATGATTCAGTCCACTTATGTTTACAAAGGCTTATAGAATTTTTAGTTAAAGAGGTGGGTGCTGTCAGTAAATATGTATAAATAATGTAATGAAAGGAGTATATGTCTATGGTATGAATTTGGTTATAGTCAACAAAGAATCTTGAAATATTTTTTTGCCTTTTGGTTCATCATAAAACGCTTCGCTAAAGCGAAAGCTGATGATTAAGTGAACAGAAAACAAACTTCACCTGATAACCTTCCGGAGATCGAGGACGGGTGGCTGTTTTCAGTCAGTCGAGACATTTCGACTTTTGATGCGCACCTTGTTGCCTTATGGCGGAAAGAAGATGTATTTGAATCCATTCGGAGTATCTGTATTTTCGCGGTGAAAGTGTTGTCATGCTATTTCACCCTTTCTAAATTTCGATCTAAGTGAGTGCGTCGATCTCTTAGAGGCGGTGGAAGGGATCGAAGAAGAGGTTTGGGCATCCCACTTTCCTTAACCATTTAGCCCCTGAGTGACTAGCATCTAATTTCTCCTTACAATATCACCCCTGAAACAAACATGAAAGTTATGAGAATAGAGAAGATGATCACCAACTAAAGCAGCTCTTTATTGTTCTACAAATTCTCTTCGTCAGCCTCTTTGGAAATGTATGGAGAACAGTATGGAGAATATGCATTGTGATGTTAGGGTGTAAAGGGTTAAACCTTTTACACCCTAACATCAGTATGAATATTCTCTATACTATTTTACATATATTTCCTAAGATGCTGACAAGGAAAACTTGTTTAACAATCAAGAGCTTCTTTAGTTGGTGATCACTTCTTTTATTCTCGTGACCTTCATTTGTGATTCAGGGGTGATATTGTAAGAAGAACTTACATGTTAGTGTTACACAGAATATCCACACAGTTTTAGGTTTTCCTCGCGTATTCTTGACCAACTGACCATAAGATTATCCTCACACTTTTTTATCGCTCGGTTCTCTCTGGCACATGGTTTTTTCCTTACGTCATATGACATCTACCGGGATGTCCAGTCCTTTCCGCGCGAACGCCTGACACTTAACATAAATTCCTCTAGGAAACAACGTGATTTCGCCACTTAACATTAGCCACTCTTATGGGTCAAAAGATTAATCTTTTCTCCAAAAATTTCAACATACCATGTAGGATCGATATCCTCATTTAATAATGAGGTATTTTATCGCTTTTAGCATCATACATCTCAAAACAGTTGTTCTTTATGATGTTACACGGATAGCCTGGAGAGCAGGCGTAATTTTGGCAAGCGAGTGGTTGGCGATTTCCTTGAGAAAATCATAGCTGCCTTCTTTGACTTTTTCAGCAGCAGAAGGCTGGGGAGAGAAAGACATTTGCACCAAGGGGGTGAGTGACGGTCAAAAGGAAGGAGAGGGGAAGGGTGGCCGGGTTAGCCTCAACCCGTCCACTCTAACTCTAAATCAGACATGAGCGGTCGAATAAACGATCGCGAGCTTGATGTTTGCCAAAAGTTTCCAGCTTAATTCGCCCTAATTAGACGGCTGCTCTGCAAACTATTACAAGGACAGATACACTGAGGAGATCTCCAGTTATTTTTGAATAGCAAGTACATGCCACAATTGAAGCAACCTGTTCTACACAGTTTTTACGCACCAGAAGAATGAAAATGCCTTATTTCTGTCACCCTTCACTTACGGAAACATCCGTCCTCGTTCCCAGTGCCCTCTTTCTTCTCTCCTCTATGAACCTCGATAAACTCCGTTCTTTACACAATCCTATTCTTTTTTTTCTCCCGTCGTACATGAGTTCTTGCATAAACCTCTCTATAATGGCAACAGCCATTAAAAAACGAGCTCTAGATAACAAAAATAAATAGATAAACGAAAAGTCACGACAACAGCCAGTTAATCACCAACTGACGATAATTGGTGCACTGAAACAGAGTGACATCTCGCTCAAGCAGACAAAATTAGGGAGCTTCATTTCACAGAGGAAGAAAAAATATGTTTACAATACCGAAAGCGAATCAAATCTTCCACGAATTAAAGGACTCTTTGTACCTTACTCCTTTTGTTTTGTTTAAGGTTGTCTTCTGAACAAAACATAACGTTTGGTTTGAATTAAATTGATATGATTATGCTACGCATTTAAAGAGTTCACCTTAAGCATCTTTTTTTCAGTCAAATATACGGCCCCAACTCCCCACCACTCTACAACACCAACATCCCCTGTCTCCAGGTGTTCTCGAGAAAGGAAGAGAGAGAAACCTGGGAGTGAGTTTGGGAGATATCACGCCACCCATCGCAAAATACCTGTCTCGGTTTCTTTTCTGCGGATAACGAAACTACCATGGCATCGAGCACAAACGCATTAAAACTTGGTGGATATGACTACACGTTCACGGGAAAAGTTCCTGATAACTTTAAATGTCTTGTGTGCCTTTTACCAATGAAGGATCCAGTTCAGATTGTAGGATGTGGACACAGACTCTGCAGCATCTGTTTGGAATCACTCTTTCGGTAATGTCGAATGCAATTCTGCATGTTGTCATTGCACCAACATTTTACACTTTACAACAACTATATCTGGAACACAAAGTATAATTGATCCATGCTCAGATATAGATCTTGGCGAAGTTCTATTTTATTACGTAACGTTTTGCGACAAAGAAAATACGGATCTTTCGAGTAAAAATTATCGCGTTCCTTCGATGGAATTTCCTAAGATTTGCCATATTTGTGCCCACTATATCTGGAACACAAAATATAATTGATCCATAACTTAAATATAGCATCTTCAGCTCCTCCTAGTAATCAAAGCATTCTTGCGAGAGTTATAGAGATACGAAGCTCGAGGTTAACTTTTCATTCTTATTTACTTGAAATAGCTATGCTCTGAATTTGAATATTTTAGTTTCCCACTTAAGGAGGCTCCGGACGGTTTTTTTTTTGACCGCACGAGATCTGCGATCGCACGATTGTCATCTGAAAAGCTGTATTAAAAACAGTTGAACTCAAAACAGTTTTATGTGATAGAATGTAGGGTTTCCAGCGACTGCATCAGTCCGTAATATTCATGGACCTCTAGGCCTAAAAAGAGGTCAACCGAAAAGAAAATACAGTGGGAAAGATTGCCAAAAGGCGACAGAAAGTTCACGCATGCTCAGATATAGATCTTGGCGAAGTTCTAGTTTATTACGTAACGTTTTGCGACAAAGAAAATACGGATCTTTCGAGTGAAATTTATTGCATTTCTTCGATGGAATTTCCTAAGATTTGCCATATTTGTGACCTTCGTAGTACCTGTTGATAAAAAGGAATCATTAGAAAAAATTTGACATAGAAGAAAAAAACTCAAAATTGTAAATAGCGAGGAAACTGCCTTTACAACCCCTATCTTTATCGGCTTGTAAATGATCGGCAGCGCGCTAATGAGCATAAACCCTACGGAGTCTCCTCGGATTCCATTACTGTACTTATTCAATTTAATTCATGCCACCACGGCAATTGTTTCCTCTCACAATCATAGATTGTATACTTAAAAAAGATTTTACTTCTCTATTTCTTCACTGACTGTCCAACAGACAACCTTCGCCATTCTGTCCATCAGATAGGGCACCATTGTCACGTGACAAGGTAAGTGTTTTTATGTAAACAGGTAACGTGTGTAACATGAGGGGAGAGAGTTAGATAGCGTGAAGAAAATCCCGTTTTCTCTTGTCTGTCCTATCATTGCTTCACGTTATTTCTGTTGGAACGCTTGTTCCAAAGAAACTCTCCATAGTATTCACTCACATTTATGTTTCTTTAAGAAAACCTCCCGTTAAATTATAAAAAACGATCTTCATAGTTGACATATTTGGCATGAATGGTTGAAGTATTTCGTGAAACAAATCGGCCGTTTTGAAACTGGTATGTGTGTACCGGCATGAAAAATACCGCCACCATCATTTGCGATTTCAATTTAAAATCCAAAATAACAAGGGCTCTTAAAATTCTTACTCCGAAAGACGAAACACCTCCTAAAACCCAATCATTTAGAGAGGTTTCACCATCGCGATTTTTGTCGTTCAACATTGAATCAGCGGCCCGGAAAGCTGATATGTATGTAAATATGATTATATCGTGTGACCTCTTGTTCCATAAGCATTAGAAACATAAGAAAATGTTTTAAGATAAATGTTCGCAAGTTCAGAGTGGATAACTAATCACTTTAGTTGCGAAACAAGACATTAGATGTTTGCATTACTTCATGGCCGCCATGTTACTGTCATTTAGACGGACGCACATTTTGGCGAATAACTCATCAGCAGAAAACCCGATAGACCTGAAACTTGTTTATTTATCAATATTCTTCAAAAGCTTACTCTCATGGCGTCAGTATTCAATAGTTTTGATTTTATATTTCGATGGCGTGACCATGAGAGCAATCGTATGACGTCAAACCATTTAAACTAGGCATGCTATGCATGCAAGAGTTATTTTTTTCGGGTGGGTGGATTAATTGAAAGAATGTAAGCGATGTCTAAATTTAACAAAAGGAAAGAGTATTGACGCAGAGAAGAACAAAAATGTCAAACTAACTCATACAAAGGTATTTTGTGGTCGATTGTAAATTGTATTGGTGCCATGGATACCTGTTAGTATAAGATGCAGACTGCAGACCGCAGAATGCAGAGTGCACACCGGATACAAAATGCAGACTAAGAACTTAAAGTGTTTTTTCGTCTGGTATGTGATAACATGTCATCTGACAACTTACTGAGCGTTACGCAATCGCTTTTCCGCGATCAGCTTTCACGATTATTTGCACTATTGTGGAATATTTCTGGCTCGTTTCTTGATCAAAATCGTTCTTAATATAAATTTAAGCCTTCATATAGTCTTCTCACTTTGCACGCGAGTTGGTTGGTGTGATGCCTGTACAGATTTTACCAACTTAACAAAAGTAGATGTAGACGAAGAAGTAAATGAGACGTCACTATCAAATATTTCACACGCGCATTATAAGAGAAACGATTGACAGCTTTGCACGCGGTGCGTAATATCATTTTTTTAAGCGATATGTGTTTATTTTGTTGCCAAAAGTGCGGACCGAGACGAAAACTGTTCCTTTGACTTGATATATTTTCGAAGTTAGCAGATCACATCATATTAACTTACCTCCGTAAATCATTAATTCCAGATAACAAAATCAAATAAACATGCTATCTAGTATCTGGATTCGTCCTTGGCCAAACACAAACGACTCCACAAGATCACATTCTTCAGGCATCGAAAACATACACAAAATCGTCCATGGTTGATTTTAATCATACATTCATATAGAGATATCACCGAGCAAAGCAATCCAGAAAAATATAATCGGCACACTTAACAAATCATGAATCTTACAACACGGCTTGCCGTTAAAGAACTACTCAAATCAAAATGTTTGGTGCAATTCATCAACACTTTAAGCAATATTTGATTTAAAATTTTTCCACTCACTCTCGTCGTGAAGGAACAATAACCATGATTGTACTACAGTGCACAGGACTCAATTTCCTCTCGAACAATTATCCACCATTTTCACAGTATGAGTAACACGTTTACTATAGGTAATCTGATATCTTTCATCTGTCCAATAGTATAGCATTTGTCATAAAGCGCGGTAAAATACACGTTAAAAACGCAGAAAAGCCAACATTTCTCACTCTGAAGGATGATGCCATTAATGCGGAAATTCAAGGGTCATAATTGCTTGTTGAGTTATCCTTTTTATTAAAAAAAAAAATCTGTAGCGTATAGAGTGGTACGTTGCTCGCACCAATCAGAACGCAGCATTAAGGTATGTATCTCGCACCAATCATATCGTCGCATAAGGGGTATGTATCTCGCACCAATCAGATTGCCGTATTAGGGCATGTAACTCGCTCCAACCATATCAGAACATTTGAATATCCTGCACGAATAATGGAGTTTGGGTATTGTTTTCTTGTAAATGTTGGCATGGATCACGGGGCTGTGCATAAAGAATGACATTGGCCAGAAATTTTGGGCTCATTTGATAAGTAATGGTTTGTAGCCTTCGCGAAAGCCTCGTCGCTTAAGGTCGAGATTTATCGGGATAAGAAAGGTACTCATCTAAATTTTTAAGTTAAAACGTGTTTTTCCGCTCCTTTACTCACAATGCACACGCCAAACATTCCATCACGTACCATGAAAACAACGTTCAAAGTCCAATCAGAACATACCTAATCATTGCACTACATGAACATTAGGCGCTTTTCTCGTGCTTTAATCGTATTCCACCAATCAAATTCCATTTGAACATATTGGACTTCGCTCTATGACGTGTCATTTTCTTGAAAACAAATTGCATTTTATTACGTATTCTAAATGCATTATCCAACTCCAATAAAAAAAATTCACGTGGAACTGAATGCCACTGATAATAAGTTTTCCAAGCAATTCTCCCGCATTTGACTTTTTCTACGAATTAAAGTCACTATAAGCAACATTGGACTTAACTCAATTGCGTGTTAATTCGTTTTAAAACAACTTGCATTGGATATAAATGTGAAATAATTCTTATTCTGGCAGATATTTCCAGATTCCGCCTATCATCGCGAAATACTGGAGTGGACGGTCGAGTGTCCTTACTTTGGATGTTCATGGACTGGAGAACTACGTACTGTTGAGGTATAACTGAGGTGTCTGATACGAAACAAAAAATTTCAAACATTTGTGACTTTTCTTAAACAACTAAAAAACTAAACAAAAATCAGTATACGTATCCCACTCTAACATTTCATTCTAATAAAATAAAATCGGGTACTTTAAAATTTGCCATTTCAGCTCACCTTATTAGAGGAAATTTACGTTCGGGCTACCAGTAAGTAAGGTTATTTACTTGATGTGGAAGCGTGTCAGATTTACGCAAAATGAAAAGAAAAATTACTTCCGAACAAAGGAAATTGAAGCGAAAAAGGTGTTGAGGAGAGAAGTTAAGGTGACATATGCAAAGAACCAGAATTTTCTAAGATAACACAAACAAGTTTTTTTTAGACCTTTGACGCCAAAAAGCTTAGAAAAGAAAATTGAAAAAAGTGAGCTTTTGTTTCGGAGCTAAAGTAAAGGAAATCTGTAATAGGGCAGCGGAATTATTTTTAGCAATACCCATCATTTATGACGCGGAAATTAAACCTTACCATAGCTAACGAAACTTAAATTGAAGCGGGCTTGTTTAAATTGGCCTTAGTTGATTTAAGGAATTATTTATTTCCCATTATAAAGTATTTGTTATAACTCTGTTTTTTAAATTTGTAGAAACACCAGTCAGAGTGCCTGTTGAAAGTAATGCAATGTTCAAACTCAGGATGTACAGAGAGGCTTGCCAAGAAAGACATGGAAGTTCACGAGTCACTTGAGTGTCCATGGAGGAAGATCAACTGTGAACATTGTCAAGAATCATTCGTTTTTCAAGAAAAGCAGGTATGTAGACATCCATGTAAACAAATGAACTTTAAAGAAAATTTACTTAGACCTAATTATATTGCTAAGTTGACAACACGGTAAAAGGCACTTTCCATGTGCCAGTGTTTCTCTAGACGTTACTAGTCTTTTCCAGGGTAGTGCCAGCCTTTAATTTATGTAATTGATGTATTTACACGTTGCACTGTCTTCTTCTATGAGAACGCCTACGAAAAAAAGAATGTTCCAGCCACACTTTCACTCTGGATTGTGAGGTCCCCTTTCCCTCGCAGCCATTATTTGAGATGTCACGTAACTGTTCCCCTTGAGTTCTTGAGGAGAGCGATGCGTGACATCCCTAATAATATGGTTACGAAGGTTCCCTGCGTTCATAAATATTTTCATATATTAATACCTTTGAGCATTAAGACTGCTGATTAAAAGGAGTTATTTGATGAATAGAAAATGGCCTACTGCTGCAATAGTTTACATCTTGTATTTTAATTGTTTTCGACTGCATTTTATGCATATTTCATGCTGTTTTCAATATATTTCCTCAACCGTGCACCTGCTTTAAAAGTATTTTTTATGGCAATATGTATTGTCATTTTTTAAAATACCAAACGCAGTTAGCTTTTAAACATATTTTCTATATTAGTAAACTGTAAACGCAAAAGAACCCCTCCCAATTCGCATTTTAAAGACAACTCTCTGCACAAATATTTTTAAACAAAATTTTAATGCCGTGCAAAACAATTTTAAAATGACAAAATGCGCTCTAAAAATGCTTAATCACACCCATTTTACCTTCATCATACGGTGAAACTATGTTTTTTTGGACAAAATTCTTTTATATTCACTAGAATTACAATACCTAAAAACTATTCCAATTTTAACACATATAGATGACTTTATCTGATTAATTTAGCAAGTCATATTTTGAAAATCATGAAATATAAAGGTAAATTATAAATGTTGTTTAAAACAAGATATGATTAATGATAACGGTATTAATGTATGCCGCCAATGCGCATGTTTTTTTATCAGCATTTGCACTCGACTCTTGTTACTTAAGTTATAGAAATATAAAAAAAATTAGTTTATCGTAGAAAATATCAAGTAAACAAGGTTTTGAATAATTCAGTTGATAAATACCACCTCATGTTAAGTTATGATGAAATTTTCGAATTTTATCATTTATTTCAAATAATAGAGCACCAAATTGTCGAGTTAGATATCAAAGGATTTATTAAATTAAATTATATTTTTTGCAGAATTTTTTAGTCCTATGTATAATAGTAGAAAACACTAAAAATATGTAAAGATATTCAATAATACTGATTTTGATTAATGATCTTATTTTTTATATTTTTTATCATAGTTTTGATCGCACTTAACAATATTTGGTGATGATTCAGTTATTCATCATCTATAAGTTGTAATTTCACGATAAGGTCATAGTCATTAAATTTACTATCGCGCAACTAAAATATCTCTTGATTTCATTGAATATATGTTCATGCCTGATTTATGCATGTTTGGTTTGTAGCATTTTTTAAATCAATTATTGTTTTAAGTATGCTTGTATTAACATTTCAACGGCTGAAATAGCAATTAAAGCAATTCCTTTTGTTGCAATAGCCGATGCTATTGCTTCTGTTGCAAATACACAGTAGAAAACTTAGCTGTTATTTTCCACTTTCGATATTTTTTATATGCAGATTTGTAACAATAGGATTTTTTATGGTAATGATTATAAAGTGTTTTCAGCTCATTTACTTTTTCCGTTGTAAGGTTTTTTGAAATGTGATTAACATTTATTGATTGTCCATTATTCAAGTAATTTAGATTGAAGAAAATTATTTTTAACATGTAAAAGTATTTCAATCAAAAGCATTGTGTGGAAAAAAATTCTTCATAAATTTATTATGTATATTTTGATCAACTGTTTTATTTTTTATAAGAAAAATGTCCACGATTCAAAAACTATTTCACTAAAACACCGATGCACCGACGTATTTTTGTGTTCATGTTGTAACACTTAAATTCAGTTGTTAGGCTTCTGCTAATTTGATTGTTTATTCTTTGTAACCCCCCACATCAGATTTTACGGAAAATAACAACTAAATACATTTATTTCATATATCACTTGTTAAAGTTTTATCAGCGATAAAACTCCTGAGACGACCATTGCGGTCAAAACAATTTTGAATGAGAAGATAAAGTTTCTCAGATCCAAAAATTACTCTGATATAACCTCTATGATCAATTTAATTTTTGAAAGAAACGAAAAAATCCTAGACATTTGGATGTAAATACTCAGATATACTAAATTGCTCCATGCGATTATTTAATTCATATTTCATATTAAAGTAATTTAATTGAGGAAAATTAATTAGACCTCTTTAGCTTATCATTTTATTAATGACGGTTTTTCATATAAATTATTTGGTAAATAATCATTTTTAGAAATAGGATCAACTTTTACCGAAACTAGATGTACATCAAAAAATTACTAACGGTGTATTTATCTAAGTTAAAAGCCTTTTAAATCAATTATTTGATTATCATATAAATCTAATGTTTGTTTTCTTATGTAATATCTAGCGTCAGACGATTATCTAATCATTGCATCTGTTCCTGATGTTGCATTTGCAAGCCTTAAAAATTGTTTCGTTGACATGTCTAAATCACTATCTACAACCCTTCTTTAATTATCTTAAATCAGATGATTGCCTATTCATTACATCTGTTGTTGTTGTTGCATCTACAACATTTTTAGTCTTGTTTTTTTTATCACATTTAAACCACTATCTGCACTTTTTTTCAAGATAAATTGTATTTGCTGTATTTGAATTTACCGCATTATTTAAATCTGTTGCATCAGCCAAACCAACAATTTTCGTACCACTTATATTTTAATATTAACTTCCTTACTTCATATCAATTCATCACTATAATAAGTAAGACCTTGCGTTCTATTTACTGAATCATCTAAGTTTGTTATCCTTTTTCTATACATGTCAATTTCTCCAGGTAGTATTGGTTTATTACCACTTAAATTTGCTTCTATCCAACTTCAAAAAAATTTATTTCAGTTTGGTTTAATTAATGTCATGCTACTAATTTATTAGGATTTACTCCATCTGTTGCATTTGTTAATCTCTTTTTCTGCGTATCATAGTTGCCGTCAGGTGTAAGTTTGAAACCAATTCCTTGTTGACTCTTTTCATCCCTTTCTCTTGTTTCTCCTGTTAAATTGTCATCAACATTATGACACAATAAGCCATTTGAATAACCCATATATTATTGCATCAAACATTTTTTTCATTAAAATTTTTTGCAAGAACTTTTTTTGGTTTCTCAATATATAAACATAGGCATGCTATGCATGCAAGAGTTAATTTTTCGGGAGAGTGAATTAATTGGAACATTGTAAGTGATGTCTTCACTTAACAAAAGGAAAGAGCATTAACGCGGAAAAGAACGAAAATGTCGAATTAACTCACACACAGATATTTTGTGGTCGACTGTAATTTATTGGTGCCACGGATACTTGTTAGTACAAAATGCAAACTGCAGACCGCAGAACGCAGAGTGCACACCGGATACAAAATGTAGACTAGGTACAAAATGTAGACTGCAGACTGCAGAGTGGGTACAAAATGCAGACTGAGAATTTAAAGTGTTTTTTCGTCTGGTATGTGATAACATGTCATATGACAACTTACCGAGCATCACGCAATCGCTTTTCCGCGATCAGCTTTCACGATTATCTGCACTTTTGTGGAATATTCCTGGCCCGTTTCTTGATCAAAATCGTTCTTAATATAATTTCAAGCCTTCATACAGTCTTCTCACTTTGCGCGCGTTGATTGGTGTGATGTCTGTTCAGATTTTACCAACTTAATAAAAGTAGATGTGGATGAAGATGTAAATAAGATGACGCTGTTGAATATTTTACACGCGGCATATTCGCACGTGGTGCGTATTATTATCTTTCTAAGCGGTATGTGTTTATTTTGTTGAAAACAACGCGGACCGAGACCACAACTGTTCCTTCGACTTGATATATTTTCGACGTTAGTAGATCACATCATATTAACTTACAACCGTAAATCACCCATTCCAGATAACAGATTCAAATAACCATGCTAACGATGGTATCTGGATTCGTCCTTGGCCAAACATAAACGACTCCATTAGATCACTTTCTCAAGGCATCGCAAACATTTTCATTCGTCCAGTGTTCTCAAAATTGCCCTCAAAATAGCCAACAATGACACAAAATCCACCATGCAACACACTTGCAACTATTCAAACCTCTAACATCGAAAGACTCGATCCAAGAGTAACACACTACGATGTTTACTATGAAACTGACTGGCAACCAAACCACCACAGGGAAAACTCAGCCATCTTTCGTAGAAACATTGTAGTTCAATAAAAACACCTCTTAGCATTGCATATCAATCAAACACGATGTCACACGAGGCGACAAAGCTTCCTAGGAGCCACTCAAAATCATCCATAGTTGATTTTAATCATACATTCATCTAGAGATAGCACCGAGAAAATCAACCCAGAAAAATATAATCAACAGATCATGAATCTTGCAAAACAGCATGCCGTTAAAGAACTGCTCAAATAAAAATTTTTGGTGCAATTCTTCAACACCTCAACCAATATTTGATTCAAAATATTTCCACTTGCTCTCATCGTGAAGGAACATTAACCACGATCGTGCTGCATTGCACAGAACTCCATTTTCTCTCGAATAACTATCCACCATTTTCACAGCATGAGTAACACGTTTGCTATAGGTAATCTGTTGTCTTTCATCTGTCCAGTAGTATAGCGTTTCTCATAAAGCGCGGTGAAATACACGTTACAAACACAGAAAAGCCAACATTTCTCATTCTAAAAGATAATTCCATTTTACAAGCTGCTCTCTCCGAATCCCGCGTCTCTCAAACTAAAGAAGAAAACGGACGCTCTGATTGGTGCGAGATACAAACCCTAAACGATCTGATTGGTGCGAGTAATATACCATTCCATACGCTAACATAGAGGTTTTTTTTTAATAACTCAAAAATTAATATGGATGATAAGTTGCATGATTGAATACATCTTTATCAATGTTGTTTTGATTACATATCTCTGTTTGAAAGAGTCATAAATACAAAAACTTGAACAGCTCAATCTTACATCTTTCGGTTTGTGATAATATATTACTAGGTACTTTTTATGTCTCCCCCCTGTAGATAATTCAATAGTCGGTCTTTGCTTCTTTTTTCACAAATACAATCATTAAAAAAAATTCAATTTTTTGGTTATCATCACTCATTTCTTGTCAAGGTATTATCTCATCGTTACTTCCTTCAACAAAATTATAATCTACTTCTTTATTTATATCATCAAATATTTTAATCAAATTTTTGCTTCTTTTCTTCAAGGTTCTTAGAGTAAAGGTGAATTTGATCAAAATTAAGTAATTTAGAAATCGTTTCAAATATTGAGCATCTCAGTTATAAATGGATCGCATAGTTTGCTAAAGCACATTATGTTGAAATCAGCTGGTAAGATTGTTTAAGAAACAAATAATTTGCACATAGTCGTCAACTCTAATAATCTTCTTGACTAGTACAGTGATGATTTCGCAAAGACTGTGGCAAAAAATAGTTTTTGGCATCTCGATTGAGATGGAACAACAGCCAACACAAATACTGGCTTTGTGGCGAGAAAAGCATTCACTGATGGTGCAGCCAATGTTAATGATATAATTTCACTGAATTGATGTAGTTCCTATGAAGAACTTGAAGATAAATGCTCACAAAAATGCAACTTCAGTTTAACATTGAATTACAAAATGAATTTCAATTGATAGATAAAGCTGCTGTTGCTCATACTGGAAGAGTAGTTGTGAATCCTAAATTAACTCCTAAGACAGGCTTTATGATTTTATATGTAAGTTAATTTCTTAAGAAAATAAATGGGAATATTTAAGAGAAATGTATGAAGTGTTTTGCACCCACATGTTCCTCAACAACACTGACACACAGATAAATATTTCAAACTTTAAATCACATCATGGTTTAATTTACCTCTATTTAACATCTCAGACAGAAGCAATGACAAAAGATCCAAAACAACTTATATTTTGTTATTAGTTACATGAAGCCAGTACAGCTGACTTTCGGGTACATACAGTTATTTTTTATATAGAAACTGTTAAAATTGATCAAATAGGCGATCAGCCTGTTATTGCTTGAATTTGTATTGGAATTCAGAAATGTAAAATAAGGTAATCTTATAATACGTAATAATAATGTACTATCCTCATGGAGTAAATTTAAGTGAGAACCAGTTGAAAACGTTAAGATTGACTCCATACAATCTTACAGGAAATCACCAACCTTTAGTGACACAGCAACAGATAAAGGTACTGCTTAGAGAGCAAAGAAACGGCACAGGTTCTGATATAAAAATTTCGAGAACACAACCAGCTGAAATAGACGTGTTTGTACTTTTGATAAAATATGTCTTGGTAAAGGCACAGGTTTTTTCATTGAAATTTTCTTTCTTGGTTAAGGTACTGGTTTTAAGTTTGATATAATTTCTTCTTTTGTAAGTACATTAATTTTTTCTTTGTTCACGGTTTTTTTTATAAATTTCACTTAATATGGTTTCAAGAAGATTCTTTTCTCAATTAAATTTTTGACAAGTGCATTAAATTCAACGCGTTCATCACTACATACTATATTAAGACTTTATTTTTAAGTATTTATCTGGCAAACGCATTTCAGTATATCTTTAAGATAACCAATGATGAACGTAAAATGGGTCAGATTAAGCATTTTAAAATGCATTTTGTTATTTCAAAGTGTTGCACGTAGCATTAAAATTTTGTTTAAAGATATTTGTGTAGAGAGATGTATTAAAAATGCGAATTGGGAAAGGTTATTTTGCGTTTACAGTTTACTAATATAGAAAATATGTTAATAAACTAAGTGTGCATGTTATATTAAAAAAATGAAAAATTACATATTGCTATAATATAATACACTTAAAGCAGGCGCACGGTTGAAGAAATATATTGAAAACAGCAAGAAATATGTATAAAATGCAGCCGTAAGCAATTAAAATACAAGATGTAAATTATTGCACCATCAGGCCCATTTTCTATTCCTCAGTTATTAGCTTTTTACCAAAGCTAAATCAAATATATAAAAAATACAAGTGTAATTGATTGCACCAGCAGTTAAATTTCACCAGAAAGTCAAGTAGTTTACCACATCATATTCAAACATGTCCTCCTTTGTTATCTAGAAGCATCTAGAAGTTTGCCAGAAGTTTCCTGTTCCGTGCACCAACAACTGCGGCTTGAGAGAGATTGCACGAGAAAAGGTTTGTTTACACCGATTATAAGCAGGCATAAAGGCTTCTATCAGAAACAAAATGGTTACCTTTTCCAAGTGAAACAATCGTCCAATTAAACTTGTAGGGGGCATCTGAGTTGGGCAATCGGCCATGCTGAAAATCGCATTTTTATTCTCACTTTTTATGACGAATAGTTCTTAATTTCTGTTACTGCTTTTTTCATAGCTTGAGGTTCACATTCGCGATGAATGTCCTAAAACTGAAGTCTGCTGCGAATACAGCAACTTAGGATGCGATGCTATGGTATGGACTACATTATTTCTCTTATGGCGTAAACCATTCCATGCGGGGCAAGGAAAAATACGAGCAATGAGCCTGTGACAAGAAAGGTTATCTTGCTAAAGCCTACATAACGTAAAATCAGATACCGTTATCGTTCAAAGGTGTCACAAGTTATGGTTGCCTACCCAGGTTCAAAAAGTTAATTTTGATTGCAATACAGTGAATGGTTTGAATCCGGGAGTAACATGTGTAAAATATTAATATTCAAGAGAACAAATCAACTCTTCTGATAGTGTAGTCTGATCGCGCGGATGAGTGTAGTCCTGAGAAAGACTGTTGCTGGTAGTAATAACTGAGGTTTAGATAACCTGAGCGGAAGTCATCATTCTGTTCGGTTCGTTTGTGATGTTAATGTAGCGAATAAGTCGTTTGTATGGTGCCGGCAGTAATTTACACCTGTTAAGGGAAGCTGTTCTAAGTTAGTAAACCAGCTGTCCAGAGTCAATCGTTGAAGAGTTAGTGCTGTGGGTTTGGCATTGCGCAAATGGTTAGATTTAGAAGCCTATTACTGATGCACCTAAATTAACGACTTTGAGAGTTACGTCGATTTAAAAAACGGCTCGAATCGACTTGATCTTTCTAGTTTCCACGATCAAACACCAGTTCTCATTCAAGTTCCCAAGTTGATCGTCACTTAAGTCTTACCCACCATTGCCTCGACGCCAATCGGTTGCAAGTTAATGATCTGGTCAGCCTTGTCGCGAAACAGTCACAGCAAATAGAACAGTTGGCGGCCTTAGGTAAGGAAGAGTCACAGAAAAGAGAACGGTTGGAGGCCCAAGTTAAGGAAGAGTCACAGAAAAGAGAACGGTTGGAGGCCCAAGTTAAGGAAGAGTCACAGAAAAGAGAACGGTTGGAGGCCCAAGTTAAGGAAGAGTCACAGAAAAGAGAACGGTTGGTGGCCCAAGTGAAGGAAGAATCACAGAAAAGAGAACGATTGGAGGCCCAAGTCAAGGAAGAGTCACAGCAAAAGAATCGACTGAAGGCCCATGTTAAGGAAGAGTCACAGAAAAGAGAAGGATTGGTGGCCCAAATTAAGGAAGAGTCACTGCAAAGGAAACTATCGGAGGTCCCAGTCAAGGAAGAAAGGGTAGTAGCAGTGCAAAGAAAACGACCGGAGGCCCAAGTTAGGGAACGGCCACAGCGAACAGAACGACTGGGTATCAGATGTGGCGAGAGAGAGAGCAGTCGTCGGTCCAGTTCTTTTTTGTTTGATTAAACAGCAAATAAAGCGTTTTAATTTCCAAGGTTAAGAAGAGTAGCAGGAAAAGCTGGACTTTTGTATGGAAAGTATCCTTTCCTGAGGCCATTTTTTAAAAGTAATACAAAAAAAACCCGAAAGTTATAATAAGTAAACCCTTTTGTTATAGAAAAAAGGATACATGCTGATAATCAAAATGGAGTTTTCGAATCTATTTCACTTAGATTTTTCGTAGTAGAGTTGTCCCTAGAGAATTTTACCGGTTGTTATCTCGGCCGTTTTGTTAATCAGCGTTTTCTATTACCCGGTAGCCATTTTCTATTTGAGCTCATCAGTTTTTGGGTTTTGAGTTGCACGTCCAACCCTAATGATTGGGTGAAATGCGTTTGAAACCATTCGTATCAGCTGTAAAATTTGCTGTTAAATTGATACAAGTATGGCTGTTGACCAGTTTAGTTTAGTTTTTACTTATTCGTTGATCTTGGCATTTCGCTGAATCTGATTGCTTACTAGCTCGTACAAGTTGCAGGAAAGTAACCAGAGTAACAATAGTGGCAGTGTAATTTTAGTCTGATGTTTTACAGAATTTAAACTTACTCTGATAGTTCACGTGATGTTAATGAGTGGTATGCCATGTTATCTTGATTTTGCTATATTGTAATAAATGTAGTATTGTAATCTGAGAAAAAGAAATTTAGTTTCAGCCGGGACTTATGATAGGATACCATGATTCATTAACAAGTCATCCACTAACAGCTAACAAAACAACGACAACAACAACAAATTCAGATCAAGAATTCCTTTGGTTACAGCTGGGACTTATGATAGAATATCATGATTCACTTACAAGTCATCCCCTAACAGCTAACAAAACAACAACAAAAACAAATTCAGATCAAGCAGATATGACAGAGATTTTAAGATTCCTAGCCACGTACGACCAGGCGAATAGTATTTCCCAAAACTGAAACAGTGTGCACAAAAACGGGGTATTCGTATTCTTTGGAGTTTATAAATTCTATGACTTGACTCATTACATTTTTTATGACTTCCACGACTCGTTATTTTGTTCCCTCCTCCCAACATTTTATTCCATTTCCATGACTTTCTATTACCCACATCTCATTCATACATTTTCTGATCTTAAAGTAAGAAAACGGAAATTATTGACTTTCCCAGGCTCTCCCACGACCTTCGGAACCCTGAAAAAGCCAAAGATGGTACAAATGATCAAAACTATTTGTGACAGCATTCTTACTTGGTCAAAATTTCTGAAAAAATGCATCTTAAGCGATATAAATTGCCGTTAGTTTCATCCTTGAGGATGGGTAACAGCGAGCGGCTGTCCATAGAACTTAAAAAATATCAGAAGGAAAATGCACGACTAGGGAAAGGAAATTTTTTCAAACCATAACTGGAATGACACTCATATTCTTAGAGTGTGATTACAAGTCTTACCCCAAACTGCTGAGCTCCTCGGATCGGCGTTTTGCTGTAATTCCAAACTTTTACCATGGAAACTGTTACGGGCTCATCGGACACCACATAAATCCAATTGATCTAAAATCTAAAATTAAAGCCATTTATTCACTATTTTTCATCGTAAAATTCAAGACCGTTTAGACCGACGCAGTAAGGACCACCCCAAGTGGAAAACAGTTGAAACTGAAATACGACTGGTAACAAGTGAAGGAAACTCACCGGTATTAATCTATTTTACCCTTTTAATATTGAGACAAAATTGTGTCTTACCCGAAAAAAAGGTCCATGTTCACTACCTCAACTGTTACTAGGGAGGGGTAGCGAAGTGGCTTATGATATTAAAACTTTTCCGTTATTATAGCATTTTCAGAAAACTGAACAGTGAACTTAAGTGCACTTAAGTAAGGAATAATTGATTTACCTAATAGTCGAGCATTGAGAAATTTCGAAGATGTCTCACTTTGTGGAAGATGAGCGCAAATTTGTCTCAAATCTGCCTGAACGAACTGATTGAAACAAAGATTATTGAGATTATTTAAGATCACAAAATAGGAAACACATTGAACGTAAATAACAACGCTTTTAAATCAAGTAATGACTGTGTATCCCGTTTATCTTGCTTCGATAATTTTTAGTTTGGGTTAAAACTTCGGTGCTTATAACGAATAGTTATCCATCTTTCGAAAGAGTGTGAGGTCACTGTCGGTAAGCTTTAGCGTCGGTGGTTAATATGTCCTTTTACTAAATAACATTTGTAAAGAAAACAGTGGCATCATTTCAACTGAATCAGTAAGAATGACGAAGGTGAAAAACAACTATTCACTGCATACGATGTGAAAACAGCTACGACAACAGACCACTTAAAGACACTTAACAATGTATTATGCCTCGTAACCTTCACACCATTAAAAAAGCAGATTCTTCTATAATGGCAAAGAAACTATAACTGCACCTGCGTTCCACGTCCTTGGTCGAAGCACCATGCGCTGCATATCTTCGTGTGGTTTTAATAAAGAAAACATCCCGCCCGTGATCAAATATTACCCGGCCCTGAAAAACAAATGTGATTAAAATATAAAGATGTTAGACAAAGAACGTCCATAAATATTGTTGAAATGTGTTCCATATAAGGCGATCGGTTCACCTTTTCTCAAGAGAAATCCTTCCGGTTGTGAAATATTCCTATCAGCGAGCTTAACGTGAACTTGTTTGGCCTGTAAACAATAAGAATTTGCATGAGTAATACAGTGAAATAACATTACAGAATACCATTCACAGACTTAATGAGATAAAAAAATTTGGTATAGAGAGACACTAGACCTTCCACGTGGCTCCTATCATTCGTATTCCTGTCCCAGCTGCATGTCTTTGCGCGAAAGTTGCTCCACTTGCTTTTCAGAAGTTGTGGTGCACTTAACAGATTTCATCCAATTTCTATGTCAATGAAATACATACCCCTCTAAAGGAATCATCTGTGGACTTGTTCTAGTTCCAAACTCTGAATCTTACCAAAGGGGTGGTGTGTCCTACGTTTACTGTCAGAAGACGATCCTACCCATCAGTGAATGGTATCAGCCATATGTGTTCATCACTCATTGTCACGTTTGTTCCATTTATTAATCTGTTGGGGTAACAATCAAAACTTTAATCAAAACCAAGGTACTGAAAAAACCAAGAAAATTCTGTTCCCAGATTTTTGTTATTTTTATTTTTTTATGCCATTAAGTACGCAAGAAGTACATCCATAGAGTTTTAAGTTGTGATACCAGAACAACCCAGTTAAAAATAATTAAATAAAAGCAAAGGTAAAACTTGTAACCAAGTCAGTAAGGAGACACTAAACCAGCTTGTATTCAAAGGCTTCAACAAATGGACCCGAGTACTTACTTATCAAGAGTTCTATCGTCATCTTCATATTCAGGAAGGTCATTAAGATCTCTTGGAGACGCTTCGTGAAATAAATTAGGGATAAGAGTTATTTGAACACCAATTTTTCGAAACAAATACTCTGATTTATTTACAACAGAAACTTATTCTGGCGTTCTTCTACGTAGATAAGAATCAAGTCATGCCGGTGTTCTCAACTCAGCGAGGATGTTTTGGTCATAAAATGTTCAACCCAAGGACCGATGCAGATAAAAATTTTCTCGAGTTTCCTTTTCTTCTTAGAATATTAATTGGAAACGTTTTCCAGACTTCACGACGACTGGTCAAAAAAGCGTCCTCTTGTTCCAGCCAAATTCATATTAGTTGTCATTTTAATACATTAACAACCACTTTAGACAAGAAAAAATATTTCTATTTTTCAACGTATTGTTCGACTCTCGAGTAGCCAACTTGAGTTTTAGAAATTAAGATCGTTTCCAGTGCGCCCTCAGTTCCCCTTACCAAATTACCACTGTTTGTACACAAGTTGCGAGGGTAACCAAAATTAAAAGAATGAGTGCTCAGTTCTTTTCAGACGAATTCGCTATTTAACAAGTAGATTCCAAGTTGCCGTGCGTCTGTTCAGTAATAGATCACAGATGACGTCAAAATGTGGTAAGAACAAAAAAGTGCCACACGAAGCGCAGTCTGTGTTTTGTTTCTCTCTTTTGTTACACGAAATAGACAAACCTAAACAAGTCTTCACTGTAAAACACACAAATAGTTGTCTAACACAACGAAGAGCACACAATACCGTGCTATTTCTCCTTAAAATATCAGGCTTCCATTCAGGGTCATATCAATACATCGTACTCCTCTGAAGGAATGAATTCTTGATTTGTTGTAATTCTGGATTCAAAATTCAAAATTCATTTTCAAGCCAGATTATAACACACAAGTAGACTGAATACTCTCCACTTGAGACGACTTTTGTCTGTGCCCAGCAACTCTAACCCTTTCCATGGAGACAGCAATATCCAGGATCATGGATATTCTTGCCTACGAACAGGAACTAATCATTAGCCGATCAGTATGCACTTTTATTTTGGCTGCGGAAAGGTATTGGGCTCGGAGCAACGCAGACCGGGGAGAGGTCAACAAGGGGTCTGGGACTGATAAAAGAGGGCTTAAGGAACCAACGTTTTGAGACGCAAACGGCAGCCGGAAGTGAAAAGTTCTTACTCCTGCTGTTCAATACACCTTTTTGGTCAGTACAGTTTGGTTTAAAATGCTAAAACGCAGAACTTACAGTCGATACATTAGCGTTAAAGCGCGCCAGAGGTAGTTTTATTCTTCTTCAGCCTCAAAAACGTCTCTGCTTGAGTTTTCTATTAATGAGACCAGACCCTCGGCAAACCTATCCCCGTCTCGTTTCAAATCTTCCGGCCGGCGGAGAAACGCGCGTCTTGCAACGCATTAATGAGAAATAGCTCTCAAGCTATGGACATATTGCCAGTGGAACTGAGCAATAGATTTTTATCAATAAATAATGCAACGCATAAAGAGCATGAAGAGAAAACAGACGAATTTGATAACCTCATCAACTGTTCCATGACGGAGTTTCTTGCACTTTAGTAGTTGTTTTTTACTCTATCAATAGTGGTAATGCGACTGTATTACAACTGTAAACGATCCTCGGCTTCACACCCGAAATAAGCAGTTATTAATTGCTAGAGATAATGTTGCCTTGTGTCTGCGATTAAGTGAAACTCTTGGCAGATGTGCACCCACGCGAGCTAAGAACTGAAACGAACGTTTTTCAAAATTCACTACATCCACACCACCAATTTTTGGCTGACATAAAGTCCACCTTAAAAAGTCAGTCCTCTCCAACAACATACAACTTGGACCAAACTTCCCATCCTAGAGATTGGGAATTTAACTTTAAGATTATACTGAAGTACCTCTCATCATACTCCTTGGTCTGTTCTGGTATTGGCTGAACGTTTTCTTCTCTTTTTGATTACATCTCATCTTGAGCATCACCTGAAAGAGACAATGACGAAAGATGCTTAAAAAATCCCACACCACCCTACACAGGAACGGTACATTTTCATCCTCGACCCCTCCCATATTAACTCAGTCAAAGCCAGTATTGTCTATATAAAATAGTCGAAGTAAGTAAACTCGTTATTTCGCTACTGGACTGACTGCGCACACGAAACAACTTACCATGATGATTTTCCAGATCAAGATCCTATGTTATTCGCCCTTTGTGTGATTTCTCAAATACATACAACAAACTCCACGATTCCTCTAAACTCTAATTGTGCTCTCTGTGATAAAAGGTGAAAAAACAAG